TTGTTCAACTCTTTGGCTCGAAAATCTTGTGAACCGTAAACTTCAACTCAAGAGAATGAACAAACAGTACAGTTTTTCGAGAAAACGACACAAAAAAGAATCATTGCTCTGTTGTTTGATTTTGTCAAGGTTTACCCAAAAATTTGAGAACATTTTTGCTTAGAGACAAGCTCCCGATGTTCATTGTCTTTGCGGCAACTTTCAGGCCATGATATATTCAGCACTTAAAGTCGCACTTGTTTTTCTACTCAGACAATTATTGCGAGCACCCACGGCCCCTAACCGTACCCTTCGGGGTGCACGGGCGTTAAAGGCAGCGTCCGGGCAAAATTTCGCCTCTCATGTTGTCGTTCTAGGGCCTTTCCATGGTCCTGTTACAGTTATAAAGTCCAAATTGTCCAAAACCCTCAAAAAAACCCAACTCCTGGGCACCCTATTTTGAGGACGTGGTAGTTTCGGATTGTTTCCCTCCGGCTCGCTACCGGGGAGGAGCTGCAACTGCATGGGTGCAGTTACAACCATGATCGATCGATGCTTGAGTACAAGTCCTCAAAAGGAGGTTTGTGATACGAGGGGCGGTTTTCGATACGTATCACAAGCCCGTATCTCCTTTTAAAGGCCACGTCAATGGATCGGACCAACGCAGATCGGATACTCATGGGGCCGGCTTCACAACTAGGTGCTAAACTGGGTGGGTGGGTCTTGCCCGGACGCTGCCTGTAAATTATTGGACTGACCATCCGCGGCCTTAGATTTATTTTCTTAGCCACCCGCGGCTTATGTTATCGCTAGGGACAAGCTGCGGGCCTTTAAAGTTTTATAGGAACACCGCGGCCTAAGAAAAGACACTCGGGCGAGCCCCTTACCTTATTGGGCGCACTGCATAGTTAGTTCTCGGCAAGCCGCGGCCATTTAGGCAACGGCCCAATAATATCACTCCGGCGAGCTCCGGGTCTTGCTGGACGCCACAATTAGAACATGCCGTAGGGGAGAATGCTTCGCGTGAGATACGCCGCGGTGATAGAGTTACCCTCAGCTTTTGCGTCCTTTGGCAAAAGTCAAGTAGCGTCAAGTTCCTGGTCATCAATGGGATGTCGGTTGAGCTCTACAGGACTACTTGGTCCTGGGATTAGGTGGACTGTCGGAAACTCTGGTACAGTGTTCGTGGCTCTCATACAAGGCCAAAGAATATGAGCAGAAGTCCAAAAAAATTTCAAAAGTGTCTGAAAAGATTCTAAAAATTGGATTCAATACTAACGAAATTCACTGCCTTTTTAGAATTAATATTAACGACTTCACTGCTTTATCGGGTATTGGTGCACCCGCGAGTGCATGTTGCGCATTTATCAGGCGCTTCCCGAGCCACCCCTGCCGTTGTTCGGGCGCTTATGGGGTCATCCGCCGGCATTGTCGGGTGGTGACCGCGCACATATCGGCGCGTCCTTGGGATGAGCGTGGCGTCATCCGTGGGTGGCCGGCGGGTTCTCGCTATAATTGTCTACCACAGAAGTTCCCTTTCTCGCAAAGAGAGATCCCATATGCAAAACAATGAGCGGTTTTTTATAATTTAGAGCTAACATTTAGACTCGCACGGTGGCTTTCAAGTTGAAGAAAACTAGGAGCTCATTTGAAAAACAACATTAAAAAAACCCCTTGCTTTAATTCACTTAGATTAAAATTGCTGCAGAACTTCGAGCTTGAAAAACAGCAAAAATTCGGGTCCATGCTGCAGAATGGGAGCGGGGCCACTGCGTCCAGAGACTAGCCTTGTTACACTGCAAATTGGCTGTTTTTTGCCGTTGTTGACAGTTCATGACCTCTCATGGCCTATGTATAACTACGCGAGGGGGGGGGGGGGGGAGGAGAGTGGAAGCAAGTCTTCGGGTATCTGGGCTTTGTTTTCCAACGCTGGCAACCTGCTTAGCGTACTAAAGACGTGCTGAAAACGCGTGTATGCCGCTTTACGTCGCGAAAGTTTGGCACGAACTCAAATTGACTAAATTGTTTCTTTAGAAATTGAAATTTACTGCCAGTGCCGGAAATAGAGCAAAGTGCTAACAATAACTGAACAAACTTTATTCGTGTAGTACTTCAATTTTACGTTTACAAAAAAAAACTGTTTTTTCTAAACTCAACTAACCTAGGCACACCAAAATATTCCGCAACCAGAGGACCCTATGCCTGCTGCGTATTGCCCGAAGGTATTGTGGCATGGCGGCGTGGCGGGAGTTCCCAAAGCCTCGCCGACTTTTCTTGCAGGAGTGATTAGCACCTTCAGAGAAACCTGGAAGGGACATCACATCTTCACAGGTCGAGGAATAACTCCGCCTTTTTCTCCGCCGCCTAAGTGCGGTCAATCTAAATTGTACAATAAAAAGTGAGGATCAATTGAATCAAGCTAATTCGAGAAATTTCGTTAATTGAATCCAATTTTCTTTCAAACATCAGAAACATCGAATAAGTGCACAATAGTCACAAAATCGGTTACCAGCGTTAGTTATGTCTTAAAGAAAAATAAAGCAACACTTTCTTCGCCACCTTTACCTGCTTCCTTTGAAATCTTTTGTTAGCTATGCTATAGATGATTATTTTGTGTCAAGCGCTCGAATCTCCGAACAAGAGAACGTGTCTAACAAGCGTCCGTACAAACATCCAAGCATATAAACAGTATATTAGAGTGAAGGAAACCGAACTTGTTACAAACTAATTTTTTACTAATGTCGAATCTACGAAAAGTATATTTCTACCTTCGATAAGTACAGTCATTTGGAAGTCGAACGCTGCATGCCCTAAGCCAGCATTTAAATTGGCCACCTAATATGTAAATTTCGAAACCTTCTAGTTTTATGACCGATTTTCTTCAACAAAATTCACAAGTGATCAACTTCCATTTATATACCTGAGCAGCCGATTTTTCATTCCAAACAATCAAATTTTCAAATCGAACGATCCAGAGAGTGGCAACGTTTATCCCTAGAGTTTTTTTTATATCTAAACTGGTACCCGCCAATTTGAGAAAAAAAACGGCGCTGCATTCATACCAAAGTTTTGATACTAACTTGAATAAAGCGCACTTATTACTGAAATTTGTAATCAGTGAAAATCACATGCTCATGGTTATTTCCAAATAGTTCAACGATGAAATGACAACTACTTCTTTTTTCCAATTTTTTCTTCCTCAATACTATTAGGTTGTCCGGAATTTAATGCCCGTTTTGAATTTCAACCGCAATAAGTCATACACTTCTCATTTCTAAATAGATTGCAAAGTACCATTCGAGAGAGCAAATCAAGCTCTAAAAGAGGGCTCTCTTGCTTTTGCAGCAGCTCTTATCCACTTTGAGTTTTGAGATAAAAAGCAAAAAGTTCATAAAAATCCTACAAAAATTCTTACTCGCTCACGTAGACACTATCCACATAATACATCTATATACGCCTTCGCCGGTTTTTTTCCTCTGTTAGAAATCAAGAAAACGGAAATTTTCGTGCATTTGCCAAAGTGGCGCTGTGCCGTTCCCACATAGGTAGTTGTATACCACAAGCCTGTGGAAGTACAGACTTAAGTTTTCAGCCCTCTACAAGCTTTAGTTCTCGAGAAATTTAAATTTTCGCTTGGACCACCTAACTAGGTAAGCTATATTCGGTATTTCTAAAGCTTGTAAAAAGCTGAAAATTTTAGTCTGTACTTCTACAGGCTTGCGGTTTACAACTCCCTATGTGGGGACGGCGCACAGCATCACTTTGGCAAATGCATGAAAATTTCCGTTTTCTTGATTTCTAACAGAGGAAAAAATACGGCAAAGGCTTATATAGATCTCTTATGTGGAAGTGTTTACGTGAGCGAGTAAGAGTTGTTGTAGCATTTTTATGAACTGAGTTACGATTTTTCTCGAGTTTTCGGGCAGCTGAGTCTTTTTACTTTTTATCTCAAAACTCAAGGTGGATAAGAGCTGTTGCAAAAGCAAAAGAGTTCTCTTGTAGAGCTTGATTTGCTCTATCGAATGGTACTTTGCAACCTATTAAGAAGTGAAAAGTGTATGACTTATTGCGGTTGAAATTCAAAACGGGCATCAATTTCCGGACAACCTAATAATTTCTATCATAATTCTCTGTTCTCTCTATTTGCTCACCTCACAATGAAGGCACTTAATGGGTGGAGCAATGGGCGGTCCCTGACCTCTGAGATGCGGAGGTGCTAGAACCCTCCTGGGTGCGATTGATGGTGCGAACTTGGTGCGAGGAAAGGTGTTAGGAACTCCTGCACGCCCTCCTTGTGGCATATGTTGCGTCTTTTAGAAAACATCGAAGCGGCTGAGCTGCTCGTTTGAAAAATCGAGAAGGTCTTGTATTCGTAAAATTAGGGTGTTTCAAATCCAGTAGAAACTAGGCACAGGTTTCCTGCCTCAAAAAACACGAAAAAGCCTGGACGGGAATGTAGGAGCTTAAAAAGAGGCGAATCAGATAGTCTCCCTTTTTCTGCAAAGAAGAAAGACACGGCCACTTCGATCAATCATACTTACTAGTGCACCTGTGAATTATGAAGCCTATTCCACATGTAACGGTTTTTTTGAGAAAAAGTTTTGATTGTACAGGGTGAAGGATTCAAAAAATTCATGATTTTTCAATTTAAATGTCTCTAATTTAAATTTTTCGTTATGCATGTATAGTTAGCTTCAACTCAGTTTAGGCGCGATGTTCGCGCCGCATCGCAATGCAGTATATCGTCTCGTGCTAGGGACCCATGCCTGCTGGCAAAATGCCAGCGCTGTGTGTCTCATAGCGTCCACCGGTGAGGAAGCGTGTGAAAGTTTCAGATATTCCGGGCTGCAACAGACTGTGCAATGCTTGCTACATCATACTTTAGATTCTGTACGCTGTCGCGTTAAAAACGATGCAATATTTTTCGTCCGGTAATTCTGACATCTGTTAGAAGGAAAGAAATTTGTAGAATATATTGAGCTCTGAACAAGCGAAGGGTGCAGGTAAGTCAAGAAACGTAGGCAAATTTATTGAAAACACTTGCAGTGTCAGAGTAAATATGCTCTCTTTAGGGCACTCGTTGCACAAAAACTTATATCTACAATTCCACAAAATTCATCAAATTGCCTGCTTTAATTTACGAAAGCAAAAGGAGTTGTTTCATCTGCAACATACACCAAACGCATTACATATGTAGCCAGCAGGACAAGCACCGTTAACGCATGGTCCTAAACAGCTCTAGATTTACCCTCTGTTCTTACAGTCACTGTAAACCACACTTACCTACGCATTGCTGCATAGTTGAGACAGCTGAGATAGGAGAAATGGCTGCTGTGGTCGCAGCCGCGGCAGTGCCGTATCCAGTGCCATATCCGCCATATCCGCCATATCCGCCGTAGCCCCCCAACATCATCATCATCATCAATGGGTACCACATCATCCATGAATTCATCATCGCGTTCGAGTAGCCTCGACCGTTGCCGGATGGACGACGACATGCTGTTGTGAGGAAAATGTGTAGCTAAGACGGTTCGACAAACAATTTACAATTTTTAATTCTCGTATTTGTTCGATTTTATGTCCTTTGTAATTTTTTCATTTCGCTTATCACTTCCCATTTTGTAGCATTGCCTCCTTTTACAACCTAGATACAGCAAATGGAGCAGTAGTGATGAATTGATCAAGGTTTTATAGCTTTTTAGGAGGTCAGCTTGCTTTTTAGCAAGTCTTCGCATGTTCTAGCAGAAAGTTCGCAAAGATACACAATTGGTCGAGATTTGTATTCTTTCATTCTTTTTATTCTTTTTTTTCTCTGAATATACAGGGTGTCCCAAAAAGATGTGCACACTGTTCGATCATTGATAACTCTCTTGCTTTCATGAAGGTAGCGTTCTGCAGAGCGAGATTCAACTTACAATTGTATGCACATGTATGGAGCGAATCAATCACTCTTCATTACTGTAAGAATACGGTATCAACTTTTAGCATACAGCGTCACTGTAAATCAGGCCATTTGATGGAATAATTCCAAAAAATCTAGAGATTTATGTAACATTAAATAAATGCAAATTTAGGTAAGGTTTTCGATAAACAACTTTTCACCAGCTTTCTAGCTTCAGTGGTGTAATCATATTTCTGACAAAGACTGGAGAAACGATTGAAACCGTGAACATGAATTAACTTATGAAAGAAGCACTATAGTGCGGTATAAATTCCATTGGAATCAGAAACTTTGATTAGCCCGTAAAAGAGTTTCCCGCTTGTTGGGCCTTTTCTGAGGCAAAATATCGCTTCGGCTTAGAATCTTTCTCGAACTTTCTACCATAATCCTACACTAATCAAGGATTAGTAGTTCTTTCCATACTGTAAATCTAACATACCCTGCTCTGCAGAGCGGTACTTCAAGTTCGACGAAAGACATGAAAGCAGGAATTGTGCACATCTTTTTGGGACACCCTGATTTAGGGTGGAAATAAGTCTTACACCGAAATATTAGGTCTGTGCAAAAGTTTTGTCAGTTTTTTCAGTCCATCGGCAAACACGCTAGAATGAAGATAAACAAACGCATCAAAATGCACCCGATGCAGAATTTCTTCGCCTTTTTAGCTGCTAAACTCCCATTGTGTTTAAATGAAAGAGTGTTGAGAAATTCGCTGGAAATTGCAGGCATTCGTTTTTACCATGTCTAAATTTCACTAATTTTTAAAATTTTTGTATGAGACTTTCGGAGGAGCCCTCATAACCAGCAAATAGGGCAAACATTTTGCTAACAGAATCAATTTTTTCCTTGTTTCATCTGCTTTTTCAGATTTTTGCTGAATAATTTTCTAAAAGTCTTGTGTTTTGGAAAAATCGCATAACTTGTTATTGCACCAAACACTGCAAAACTCACAAAATACTGAGGTTTCACACGATTATTACTACCGATACCATTACAAAGTAGATGAGCGATTTTCGCTTCGAATTATGGAGATTTGGAAACATAGGGTACGGCAGTGCGTACTCATAAAATAAAGAAATATTGCAACTTTTCTTGCAAATTTCTCGTGTCTCACCAAGAAAAGATAGCTGTTAGAGAGAGGAGAAAAAGTTGCATCGAATGGTACTTCAAGTGTTTACCATTTCATTTTTCTACGAGGTCAGAATAGGCTGAATGTAAAATTTGGTCACTTCAAAAAATAAATTGTAGAAGTTCTGGAAGACAAGCCGTAGGGCTACAAAAAATTGATTCTGTTAGCAAAAAGTTTGCCCTATTTGCTGGTTATGAGGGCTCCTCCGAAAGTCTCATACAAAAATTTTGAAAATTAGTGAAATTTAGACATGGTAAAAACGAATGCTTGCAATTTCCAGCGAATTTCTCAGCACTCTTTCAATTAAACACAATGGGAGTTTAGCAGCCAAAAAGGCGAAGAAATTCTGCATCGGATACATTTTAGCGCGTTTGTTCATGTTCATTCTAGCGTCTTTGCCGATGGATTGAAAAAACTGACAAAACTTTTGCACCGACCTAATAGTATAAACCGCAATAATTCATATCTCTCCCACATCCCCAATAGGATCCGTCAACCAAATGATAGAACAAAGCTAACTCTCTATAGGTTGGCAGCAGTTTTCACCCACGCAAATTCTGAGGTCAAAAACTAAAGAGATCAACCAACTGCCCGAAAAATAGAAAAAAAGATCATAACTCCGTCTAAAAAAAACTGCGAGCTTGCGACTAGCTCAAAGTATGAAACTTTGCGCCAGGTAGTAATCATACGTGTATACTTATATTGGCCGAAAATTGAGAAAACGGAAAGTTCC